CATTTAGGTTGTAAAATGTTCTACACCGCGACGTGAGTTAATAAAGCCATTGCTATTATCATTGTCGTTGATATGCAATAAAGGTTAGTATGGAGACCATAACGAAATACGAAATGACATTGATTTTAGCCAAACTACATGTTGTTGCGGACCCTTTTCTTTAAAAAAATGATTTACAGTTTAGCACTTAGACTGTATGTAATAAAGTGACCAAAAAACTAGTACAGTAGTTGATTAGTAAGTCACGATGGCTTTGTTTTATAAGGGCTGAATTTTCTCAATAACAAACATTATTTACATAAGAATCATACGATAATCATGTCTTTGCTTAATAGGATACTAGCCTAATCTAAAGAAATGAGGGGGTGAAATCGAAGATTCGCCTTTCTGTAGGTTAACTTGAATATGATTTTTATTGATTTAAAATGTTATAGTAAGTAAAAGAAATATAACTTTCCTCAAAAGTTTCATCGGAAAAAATATTAGGACAATTAGGTAACAGGAATGTTATAAGATAAAGACAAGGACGTTGAAAAATTCACGATACTAGACTGGCTACCATACCCGAAGTTTTTATGAAGAATTTCTCAGCTGCATTTTACTACTAGCTTATCTCCCCCTAGTTTAGAACTTAGGGTCTGGTCAAATCTGGAAAGCACTCTCCGGAATAGTGGTGGGTGCAGAAATCTAGAATCAGACATCCAAGTGATCAAAATTATTAGAGTTAAAAAAAAATCTTAATTATTTAATATTCTAGAGACGGTGGCCAGTCCATTACGATACCTGTAATATGAAATCCTGATTTTTGATGAAAGATATATCAACAACTGTAAATATATACATTAAACTGTACTGGTTTTCTCAGACAGCTTTAAAGACTTCCAAAACGTATGTATCTTTTTGCACAGTAAAGAGCGGGTAGATAGCAAGCAATAGATTTTAGTATCATTGATATATCGATACTACAAAGCACATTCAATTGCCATATACCACAGGTAAAATCTACTACTGTACATTCTACTCATATCTATAAAGTCCTCCACCCAAATAAACTCCTCCCAGATAAGTACAATGTATGGCAGGTGTGTGTCAGTGCGCGGTTGTACGACCCATTATGTTAGACAAAATAGCCGTCCATACTATAGCAGAATATAACACTTTTATTGCAATCATTTATTATTGAAACATAAACTGTTTTTGATTTTCTTCAAAACATTGGCGGACCAAATTCAATTTTCATTACAGTTAGGTATTTGTTAAGTCGCATTCTGTATCCGTTTGCAATTATTTTATGAGTACCAATACATGTGTAAAACTAGCTCATCACAAGCTACTTCTGTTAAAACTAGTCCTTCATAATTTCTTATTTGCCAATTTTTATCAGTTCTCAGGTTTTGTAAAAAAAAACATAGCAATTGTTAAAAGAAATGTGAAAAATAAGAAGAAAGTACAATTCTTGAGATAAGGTCAAAACACAATTTGGCAAGTGCATCGCATTGCTCTAAGGCACAAAATAGAGTATATTGTTGACACAATTTAGCCGATAAAGAACAATATCGCTGTGGCTTACTCAGTAAACTATGTGCAAATAATTTTCGGTCATTTTTATTACATGTACAATATAGCTTTAGTGTTACACCTTACATTAGAATTAAGAAAATATGGTCCAAAAATAACACTACCCAAAGACGTATATACCTTAAACAGACTTTCACTGGTCTTATATCTTATTCTTGTTATTTGAAATGAAAACATGTACATAAATAACAAATATTAGATAGATCAATAATGAACAAAAGATTGCATTTACGTCGACAAGAATAGAAATTTTCCGGTGGCTATATTTAATAACGGGTACAAACTTGTGAGTCTGTTATAAACATTAATCGCCAATTTGAATCAAACATTCGGTTTTTGGAAATCCCCGCTGTAAAACTGGATTATACACGAAATGACACGCTGGCTGGCTATCACTTCTGTTCAGACTGAACAGTCGGTCGAGAAATAAATGCCCTGACCTTCCGATGTGAAATCATGAATGAAGTATTTGACCGCGTTCACAACAGAGGCGAGTACTATACCCATTCATAAAGAAATCTCATTTGGTTCTCAATGGAGTGTGTTACTCTGGGCGGCTGTAGGACTCGAGCGCAATGTCCTTATGTTGGGTTCATGCATGGCAAAGTTCTTATATTTATTTTTGTAAATTGTATAAACATTTCATTTCGATCGTACTATGTAGATAACTTGCTTTGAGTATTTGACTACTGAACATTTGATCTTTCACCTACGGTCGCGATCAGGACAAATCCCCAATATACATAACTCGGCCCCATTCTCCGTCCTTACGTAACGTCTTTGTCGAACGCTGCCTGACCCGGAGATTTCGGAGTTCATTTAAAAGTCAAAGGTTCACCTATTTGTTTACCCGATTCAAATATAAATGTAATCTGCTGTCCACTGTGTTAAATCTTATAGTGCATTATTGTTGATATGTAATACCGGTGGTGAACTTGCTCTGACGTCTCTCCGTAGGTTAAAAATACAATAAGGTGAATTTTGGGCTAATTTTTGTCGTTCTTAGTAGAGTTAAATCTTGTATACTCGCCAGAAATGTGCTTTCTTTAACTTGAACAAAGTAAATGCCTTAGATCAACAGAAACGCACCATAACCGAAATGTTCAATGCACCTTCAGGACAATGTATGTACTTAAATGAGTATTCAAGATTCTTTATTAGGAAAACTGAATTGTAACATCAATATTCTCCGTAGTAATTCCGATTACATACATTTAAATATTAGACATAATATTACACATGATATTATATTATACAGGCGACGGAGTTCAACATGCATTCAGATCTCCATGTATTTAGTAGATATATGGACTACTTTTAGTTCAGAAAAAAAGGTTAAAAACAATAAGAAATGTCTCTAAATTCAAGAAGCATCTCTAATGAATTCATATAGACCGTGTGTATTTTCACATTGTTTTGGGGGCTAGTAACGCACAAGGACTCGTTTAATATATCAACTGGAGACCAGAGTATATTGGTCATTATTCTTATAAGTGTTCCCGTAGTGACACTGAAATGTTTAAAGACAACGGTTATTTTTCTTTCCTCGTTTAAAAAAAGTCTTCGGTTATTTTGTTTAGCGAAGGAAATGCTGTTTTCATCATTTTCCGTGCTCATAAACGCCTTTTAAATGGGATAAGATATAGGTTTTAGTTATTTCATGATAAAGTCAAGTTCAAGGTCTTTATTACCTTAGGTCGTTGGGCCCATCGGTTTCAAAAGTGAGATATATTTATAATATTTACAGACAATAAAATACAATACATTACAATACAATACAATACATACAATACAATACCAGCAATGTACAAACAGTATGGAGAGTGTAACAAATTAATTTATTGGTTTCTTATCACATTTGCCGCTTTTCTATATTTGGTCAAATTGACAAGTTTTTACATTAAATACTTTTATCATTTTAAAAATATATGTTTTTTTTTTTAAAATAGTAATGTCAAAAAAAAAAATATTACTTTAATTATACGTTTTTGGTGAAACGTTGAGGTTTGTTTTTTTGAAATTGATATCCCTTTTCAAACAGGCTTTCTCAATCAATTTTCTCAAGATAGATATCATGGAAATATGGACATCATCTTGGCGGACCAAAATAGGAAATAGAATACTAGGTAAAGGGCCATCCTAAAAATACCAGGGGTTACGTCCAATTAGGTTTACTCATTCAACCCTGAAGACACATTTGAACTCTTCCAATTCAAAGGTTGGAATAGTTCATTATGAAATTTCAGGGATGAATGACTAAAGTTGAAATTTTCAGTTCGTACAATTAAATCAATATGTGTAAAATCAAAAGATCGTCTATTTGTTCCGGACGCTTGTAAGTGTATTACCAACTGTTTCTTATAATCTTCAATGCTTCTTCCGTTTTTTAAGTTAGAGAAATAAAATCCATCCTTGAAAATAAAATACTATGAAATGGACAGGCTCCAACAAAAGAGGTCAACTGACCGCAAATTATCGCGCTCCGGACAACACATTTCCGGTCAGTTTGGTGGTGGGAGGGTGAGAAGGATGGACGCTTGCAGTGAGTTGCCCCCGTGCTGAGGTCAGAGGGTCATTAGAGAATGACAAAATGTTCCCGCGCTCAGCATCAATGAACCAATACGGCTTACGTCATTTGGGCACCGACGGGGGTAGCAAGCTTTGATCTCACAAGGCTCACGATTCTTCGATACCAAGGGGGAAACCCTTCAGAGCGTATATGCACAGAGTGGAGAAGGATCTAACAACTAAGTTAGCGTGTGTTCGTCATTATAAGCCTAAAAACCCGTAAAAATAGAAGAATTAAAACGTGTGAACATGTGATTAAAATGTCTTATTCAGGTTTATAAGGGTGCCCGTGTAAGCAGTATCAGGCCTGAGCTATCATCGAAAAAATATCTGTGTTAAATACACGCACATACGAACATAAACACAAGCATGCATGATAACATTATATACTGGTAAGATTTGAAAACTATTTATTTATATTCCTGTGGATAATTTAGAGGGTGTTTCTGGGCTTTACATTTTGTCATTTTATCAGAGAAAGATGCTGAATAAACATATTTTTTATCAAATATCAGTTCATTGAACGTGTCTGTTTAATTACCTTTGGGAGACAGAGATCACGACCGGTCTACATGCGGACCATGTGTTTATCGTACAGAGGTGTGTCCATCACAACCCTGAGGGCCCCCCGTCAGAAGCGGGAGCGATGATGCATGTTTTGTGATTGGTCTGATTACGTAGGCTGGCCTGGTTGTAACTGTCACCCGGTCAGGCCACGAACTGACCAATATCTGGCCAAAGTCACTTATAAATAGAACTCCGGTCTCCAGTTATTATAGTAAAAGTCCGTGGTCAGTGTTCGACTATTATAATCACTGCGGCCACCAATAGAGCATTAGTCCGGCCACCAACAGTTGGTACAAGTCATTTCACGGAATTAAAAGTTATAGAAGATAAACTAGTAGACATGTCCGAGGCTAGCGTGTTATTTTTCCCGATGATGAACCGAAGTTTTGTTTTGTCATCGTGCTTGGAAAACTGTTCCGTGCGGACATTGACCGCAATCAGACACACGGACGAGCACCTGGGCATACCAAGGTATGTATAAGCGTTTAGACACTGTGATACAAACAATAATTTAAATGCATGATACATAATTGCAAAAACAAATATTATCACTTAAACGTTTCATTTAGCGCAATCGGATTTTTTTTAACGAATGATTGCACATTATACAATGATTTGCACTAAAAAGTATTCTAAAAACTGTAAAATGGTTAATTGAGTTTAAAATTCAAATGTGTAGTATGCTGTTTCTTTCTCTTTTCAAAATCAAGTAAGGATGACATGGGTATTTTTTTTAACTTATTTCAGGATCATTGATTAAGTCTTCATGAAAAAAGTTTAATGTTTCATTAAGGGTCGATTCCAACGCATATACTCTATGTTTATAAATAATTATAAACAAATTCCTTTCTAAAATTATTTCTATGAAGGACGGCTGGAAATTGAAGAATTGTTCCAATAGTATTTTTTTGTGTTATTTTCATCACCAAAAAATGCAACAAGCAAACCAACCCATCTAATGAGGGTACTATTCGTAGTTTTCATTTTGTTTAAAATTCTAAATGGGGCTTGTTCGTACAATGTATGGGATAGAAAATTTGTCATAAGCGAAAATACCAAATTACCAGAAATAATACCATTTTTTTTTTCGGAAATATGTTCATTGCTGAAAACATACAACTGACAAAATATCAACAACAGCAAACAGATCAGTCTAGCTGATTATGCGGAATCCGTGTCATATGCCAGAGGTGACATTTTAAGGTGCACGTGGTGCCCAAGGTGAAACTTGATCAGTTTTAGTGACGTAGCCGTGACGTATACGCTACTTCCTGTCCTATTAACGCTTATATGATATTATCAAGCAGACAAAGTTCGATATCATACACGTGCGATATTAGTCACTGTAAGGTTTTTGAAGGAAATCAGTTTCACTGGTGTCTGGTTTTAACTGTTGTTGACAAGTTCTCCACTACCTGGGGTTTTGTACCCGGTGTATGTAAATCTTGATGATGATGATTCTTAAAAATCCATTTTTACTGGTGTTTGGTTTTGATCGGAAGAAAGTTATACCTGGGTTTTTACCAGTTATACACTTATAGCACGGACTTGGATAGAATCTAATTCCGTGCTTATAGATAAGGAGGCATGGGGTTAGGTAGTCCTAATTAAGGGTCCAGGTTCTACGTATAATATTTTATTTTCTAAAACTGAAAAGTAAAAAAATAGAGCATTGCAAAACATCTGTTACTAAGTATAGTGCAGCCAATCTAATTAGAATCCTCAGATTGTAATGCAGCATGCGAGATGGCTTACTCAGTATCAATATCAGGCAACAGAACATTAGATTTCAAATTATTATACAAATATTCTTTTGTAATCAATTGTAAATTCTGAATATTGCTTCCTGGGGTGTATGCTTTTCTGATTGATTTCAATGGTTTTGAAAGTGTGTGAGATGACAAGTATGTGTTTAAGTGTTCTCTTTAACGGGTGATCGTGTTTAAAATAATTTGAGGGGAGAGAGGATTAACCACACTGGCGCTAAGAGTTTAAAATTCAATATGTTTCAGATCTGCGGTCATTCTACTGGTGTACCTTATAGATGGTATCATACTTCCAGTTATCTGCCCCGCCATCTTGTTCGCGGTTTCGACCATCTTGTGGAATATCTACGTCAGCTGCTCACGAGACCCATCATGCTCACTTCCGTTACCTCCCGGAAGTTCCGGTCTGCCTGTTATCGGAGAAACACTTCAATTTATCATGAAGGTAGGCATTTTTCTGAGTTATGATTAAAACTTCCTTTTCGGCCGTTCCGTGGTTTTCATATTTTCTTAGTTTTGTATGTTTTGCGTCCATCGTTTTGGCAAACATGAATTGCGTTTTATTTAAAATTTTAAAAAAAAATGTCGGAGTTATCATATTGTTGCTCCCCAATACTTAGTTCGATTTGTTTAATTATACCTTTTTTATTTCGTCACAGGGACGAAAGTTTTTTGATGAGAAGCGGAGAAAACACGGCAACATATACCGGACTCACATGCTCGGGAAACCCACTATTCGCATCGTTGGAATAAAAGGAGTAAAGCAAATAATGGCAGGCGAAAATTTCCGAGTGACAACAGAGTGGCCTAGAAGTACCCGGATGTTGCTCGGAGAAGGCAGTTTATCGTCGTCAACAGGACTGACCCATTCCATTCGGAAAAAGGCTATACTGCGAGCATTTACTCACGAAGCTATTAGTTCCTACACCCCCGTCGTCCTGGAGGTAGTACGGGACTACATCAGCAGTTGGTGTGACAGGGCCAGTATCCTTGGTTACAAAGAGTTCCGAAGTATGAACTTTGAACTCACGTGTCGTGTACTATTAGGTATCGACATGGACCGACCGGAAAAGACTAGACTGATGGGACACTTCGAGACGTTTCTTGGAAGCCTGTTCAGTCTACCTGTTTGTGTTCCAGGATTAGGACTGTACAAGGTTCGTATATGGTTTATATGATAAATCTTTATGTTGTAGCTTGTATTACGTAGTCTGTTGAATCCTATTTTAATGTGGTCTGCATGAACACTTTTAGTGGTAACTCATACCATAATTCTTTGCTCCAAAGTGGCAATATAATAGGACACCTACACCCGTTTTGAGCAATACATCAGTAACTTTGATATTCATTTACAGAACATGTAGTGTCCAACTCATTCATTACTTCTGTTGTTTTGTAATAGGGGATGAAGGCCAGAGACGCGCTCCTACAGAAGATAGAACAGTGTATCAAAGAGAAGCAAGGATCTGGATCCCCGCACAGCTTCATGGACGCTCTCAGTCTGATGATGGATATAGAAGGCGAGGAGAAACTAACATTGGACGAAGCTAAGGATGTTGGCCTTGAACTTTTATTTGCAGGTCACGAGACAACCTCCAGCGCAGCCTGTACACTAGTGTTACAGCTGACAAAACACCCGAAAGTGATGCTGAAGATTGTCGATGAACTCGCTCGATACGGATTGACGGATAGCCTCGATGTGGATATTCCTTACGAAACAGTCAACAAGCTCAAATACACCCGGGACGTAGTCAAGGAAGTATTACGACTGACGCCACCTATCGGTGGGGGTTACCGGAAGGCCCTCCGTACATTTGAGATTGAGGTAAGAAATTATGAAAAAAACCTATTTTCATTAATATTTAGTATATAAGCATAACGGTTTGGTTTGATAGCATTAGCATTGTTTTTATATTGTATGGAAAAGATATGTTACCAATGTAAAGTGGGTAGAAGTAGTAAAGTGAGGTTTATATGTTTTTAGCATCTATATTACTTTGTTTTCCAGGGCTACCAAGTGCCAAAGGACTGGGCTGTTGTTTACTCCATAAGAGATTCTCACGAATCGTCAGAATTCATTGACAGTCCGGAAAAGTTTGATCCCGATAGGTGGAGCAACCTAGATGTTGAGGAGAGGCAACATTTCCTGGCGTTCGGAGGCGGAAAACGTGGGTGTGCAGGGAAGGAGTTCGCGCTATTGGTACTCAAGATGTTGGCAATAGAGCTGTCACGATCCTGTTCGTGGACAGTCCCAAATACGGACCCTCCAATGAAATGTTTACCCATCCCCTACCCTACAGACAATTTGCCCATGCAATTCTCAGGGCTCTATCAGATGAGGCAGCGTTCTCTCACAGTTTGATGTCTCGCTCTCACAGTGTGATGTCTCGCTCTCACAGTAAAGTATCTCGGTTCCAAAGTGAATATAAAGCAATGCACCCTAATGCAAGACATGACTTCAAATGTAAAGTAATATTAAACAATACATCCGTGATATAGAAATAATGTTCATGTAAAACATATTCAACGTGTCTCTAAATTATGTAAAAGAACTTGATCTATTGATATGTAAGATGTATATATGTTGGACATTGTATTCCTTATGTAAAATTAATGCATCATATGATGTATGATGTAAACGGTAGGTCGAGTACAATTTATAAGTGCATATTGTACCACAATGTGTGTATGGTGTATCATTTATTTATGATGTATGATTTATGAAATTGATACTGTATGTGTGTATGTGACGTTGATCATGTGTCGATAAATACATGTGTTGTGATACGCGATGCATGTGATGTAAACAGTATATGTGACGTACAATGTATGAAATGTATAGATCTCGAGTATATGATGTACAATGCATGTGATGTACAGTGGATGTAACGTACAGTGTGGAAGACGTACAATGTATGTGACGTACAATGCATGTGATGTACAGTGGATGTGACGTATGGTGTATGTGACGTACAATGTATGTGACGTACAATGTATGTGACGTACAATGTATGTGATGTACAATGTATGTGACGTACAATGTATGTGACGTACAATGTATGTGATGTACAATGTATGTGACGTACAATCCATGTGATGTACAGTGTATGTGACGTACAATGTATGTGACGTACAATGCATGTAATGTACAGTGTATGCGACGTACAATGTATGTGACGTACAACGCATGTGATGTACAGTGGATGTGACGTATAGTGTATGTGACGTGTAATGCTTGTGTTTTACAATGTATATGATGTATAATGAATGTGAAGTACACTGTATGTGATGTGCAATGTATATGTATTACATAGTGGATGTGGCTTACAATGTATGTGACGTAAAATGTATGTGACGTACAATGTATGTGATATACAATATATGTGACGTACAATGTATGTGACGTACAATTTATGTGATGTACATTATATGTGCCAATGCATGTTGTGTACAATGTATGTTATACAGTGTGTTTGTGTAAGGTACAATGTATGTATGATGTACAGTGTATGTAAAATACAATGTATGTATGATATAGTACATAATGTACAATGTTTGTAATGTACAATGTTTGTAATGTACAATGTTTGTAATGTACAATGTTTGTAATGTACAATGTTTGTAATGTACAATGTAAGTTATGTACAATATATGTGAGATGTACGTTGTATAAATGATATATTTATGTAGTGGCGGTGATCGTTATAACACTTTAAACAAAGGCAGCAGTACTAACACGAAACACTTTGTAGATATATGTGAATAGCGTGTGCCGGTGATAATTATTGACATTTTGTCTGTATTTTGTATAGAAATCCAGTATAACAAAGTCGTTGTGTATATATGTCTATCTTCCTTTGTTATATGCATATTGCTGTACGTTTTGATTGAAGTTATGTTATTTGTTGTAAAAAAAAATCATTGAATACACATTTTTCATCTTTAATAATTCTTCAATTTACATCCAATACTAAAATTATTCTTCAATTTACAGCCAACTGCTTTTTTTAGTTTAAACATATCTATTGCCAAAATTAGACAAGGGATAAGGCACAACTTATAGCAACTTATCAACGCCTTCTCCCGTCATGCACTTACAATAACATAGAACAAGGGATAAGGCACAAGTCATAGCAACTTATCAACGCCTTCTCCCAATATGCATTTTAAATGACATTACAACAATGACAATAAATATATACAATAATTGTTACAATTTGAACTCAAAATCTCTTGCTGGTTTTAATAAAGTTTTGCACAGATCTAAAAATGTTTGAGTTAAGGTTCATTGAAAATTGTGAATCGCCAAACAAAAGAATTTCTAAATTTAACGCAAAATTCAAATTATTCAAATTTTGGAAACAAAATACGTCTTTCGTTTGTAAAAAGGTGACATTCCATAAAATAGTGATAGACATTCTCACAGGATGACCACAATTACAAGATGCACTCTCAACAAGGTTAACTCTAAATAGGTAATAATTAAGGGCACTGCGCTGGTGTCGGAGCTTAGTATTCAAAATATTAAGTTTACGATTTCCGATTTTAAAGTAAATAGGTTGACTTGACTGAATATTTGATGTTAAACAGGATTTGAATGAATTAATAGAGAGTATGGATCGAACCGAATTTTCTAACTTATTCCAATAGTGAAGAGTAGAAGGTAGAAAAGAAGAGTTAGTAAGAGATAATTAAAAGGAGGAATCCTATAGTTATTATTGTTACGTAAAGCGTAACGATATTTTCTCCAGATAAATGCGGCAAAAGATGATTGAAATGATCAGGAGTTAATTTATTAGCTCACCTCGTCCGACGGACCAAGGTGAGCTTATGTCGTACCGTGGCGTCCGTCCGTCGTCCGTACGTCAACAATTTCTTCAAACGACTTCTTCTTCTTTTTAACCACTGATTGGAAGTTGACTAAATTTGACTTGAAGCATCCCTAGATAGTGGGGATTCAAAATTGTACAAATGGTGGGGCTGACCCCCCAGGGGCTGAGGGGTGGGGCCAAAGGGGGGCAATTTGCCTATATTGATATAAACGACTTCCTCTGTGGATCTATGCGATAGATCACTAGGTAGTGGGGTTCAAAATTGTACAAATGGTGGGGCTGACCCCCAGGGGGCTGAGGGGTGGGGCCAAAAGGGGGCAGCTTGGCTATATTGCTATGAACAACTTCTTCCGTAGAACTTTGCACTGGATATTGATCATATTTGGTTGGAAGCATCCATGGGAGGCAGGGATTCAAAATTGTTCAAATGTTTGTGCTGACCCCCAGGGGGCTTACGGGCGGGGCCAAAAAGGTATATTTTGCTACATTGCTTTAAGCGACTTCTTCTCTAGATCTGGAACCAAAAGATGGATATCAACCATATTTGACTGGAAGCATTCCTAGGTAGTGGGGATTCAAAATTATACAAATGGTTGGGCCACCCCCAGGGGGCTGAGGGGCGGGGCCAAAAGGTGGCAATTTAGCTATTAATGCTATAAACGACTTCTTATAGAAATATGCACTGGATATAAATCATATTTGGTCGGAAGCATTCATGGGAGATGGGGATCCAAAATTGTACAAATAGTGGCACTGACCCCCTGGGCTAAGGGGTGGGGCCAAAAACAGTTTATTACTTTGAAACAGTTGAGATCCCCACCCAAAAACTATATATACAATTGTTGGGCATTAAGAGACAAATGCTGTCATGATATTAGAATTGACCCTAGGATCTGCCCCACCCTTACAAACTTAACCCCTGTGCCATAACTTTGAAACGGTTGAGATCCCCACCCCAAAACTATATATAGTATACAATTGTTGGGCATACAGAGACAAATGCTGTCATGATATTAGAATTGACCCTAGGATCTGCCCCACCCTTACAAACTTAACCCCTGAGCCATAACTTTGAAACGGTTAAGATCCCCACCCCAAAACTATATATAGTATACAATTGTTGGGCATACAGAGACAAATGCTGTCATGATATTAGAATTGGCCCTGGGGTCTGGCCACAACCCTAGGGACCTAGTTTCGTAGTCACAGCTTGGAAACAGTTGAGATCCCCACCCCATAACCATACATAAACTTGCTGAGCATGAACAATCTTATACAGATATGTTACAAAATTTGACCTTAGGGTCTGGCACATTCCCTTGGATCTTATAAGGAGAATATTTTGTCGTGATTGCTTAGATATCCAGGTGAGCGATACAGGCCCTATGGGCCTCTGGTTATGCATCTTATACAATAGTTGAAGTTTCCTCCGTTTTCTGCGATTAGATAAATTTTCAAGACTAGTTTCGTAATATAAATTATTAATTGGAGTATATAAAGGAAGTCCTAATATAATGCGAGCAGCTTCACGTTCGGTTTTTTTCTAACTTTTCCGATTCAAAAAACTACTTTGCATAAATAAGTGCACTCTTAGACGTCAGATGAACCCAAATGTTGTTTTGCTTTTATTTCATTGTTCTTTTATATAAGTATATTATTTTCTGAAAAAAGCATTACCCATTTCATATTATATTATATATAATATATCGTATATATATATTATATATCGTATTAATATTCAATTAGCTTCATGAAAACTTGAGTCGAACAACAAACGGCAGGCAAAACGATGTCACGTTATCATCACGTAAAATGTCGCTAATGGATTCAGTTTATTCCCTGGTTTGAGATAGAACTTCATAGCTCGGTGCTTGATCAAATATAGAGTACTATATAGTGTTGCTATCTACATTCATAAGAATGTTTCGGAATGTCACGGTAACTTTATAAAAGTCTTTAAAATCTGTTTAGTAATCTCATTTATCAGTTTAACGAAAACAAGATGTTATCTACTGACCTTAGAAGGTCCAACCTCGGGTCAAACATAGTAGCAAGGTCAGTGTTCCAGGTCACGTAATGTAACTTGTCATTAGCAAGATGACGCTGACCATTCATGATGCTCAACAAAGCGGTGGGTGGCGATATCATTCCTGTATATAACACTGCCCTACTGATAAAGTCAGTTACCACCTTCCATCCCACTACTACGATCATTCGGAAACAACTAATGAAACGTTGGCGTCGTCTTTCCTTCATGCTTTACAACTGAAAAGACCAGTGTTAGGTAGAATAAGCACATATAAACATAAAAAAGAATGTATAAATATAAAACACATTTAGCTGTGCAATACATTTTTTTTTAGCTCACTTTATCGTCTGGGGAAGTTTAAAAAAAAAGCAGCAGAAAAACTGCCGATTACAATATGTATAGCGTAAAACAGTGTATTATGGAATATCATTTAAACCTTCTGACGAGGTATGTAATGAGTATACCAGTATCGCATTTCCTCATTTACTGTAAAAGAAAATATTTTCATTTCACATGATATTTATGATCCGTCCAAATTTATTTTCTTTTTACCTCAGCAGAGCCTCGCTAAAAAGAAGCCTATTTTGACTGGTTTCATGATATATATACACTGTTGGAAACTCAATTCATAATTGTATTATCATTAAGGATGTACTTACTGTTATAGTTTAAATCACGTTCAAGTCTCGTTTGGATCTTGTGTAACTTTTTTTATAAAGATAAAAATTAAATAAATAAATCATTTTTAAAAGCAAACATACATCTGGAAAATGTGTTAAAAAGCAGATGTCTGTTGTTTGCAGAACAATTTTACAAGAAGTTAAAAAAAATGACCAATTCAGCGGCAATTTTGAAAATGAGTATTTCTTGCACTCACGAAATGTCAACATTTCACTTGTAATTGTGTCATCATTTTTAATTGTAACGAGTTGATTTTTGTTGAACAAATTTAAAAGGTTCAATACAATGAAAATGATATGCAACAGAGAGGAAAATTATGTATTATTGGTATTTTTTACTTATCAAGTGTAACTGAAGCTTTTTTTTTTTTTTTAGATAATACAACAAATTCTTTGGCAAAAAAGGAAGCACTCGGACACCCATTATTTGACTGCTTAGAAAGAGAAACACATTTAGTTTTGATCCATTGAATGT